ATCGCCAGCTCTTCTAATGACGAACATCTTCATCACCTCGACGCTCTCTTCCAACGCTTAACCCAGCATGGGGTTACCGTCAACCCCGATAAATGCGAGCTTGGCCAAAGCTCCATCGACTTTCTTGGCCACCGCATATCCGCCTCTGGTATTGAAGCCCTGCCAGACAAAATCCAGGCACTGAAGGACTATCCTGCTCCCAGTTCCTTCAAGCAGTTACGCCGATTCCTTGGCCTGGTCAACTATTATCGACGCTTTATCCCTAACTGCGCGAGCATTGTCCAACCAATGACTGACTTGCTCCGCGGTAAACAACGGTCTTTTCACTTTGCAGACGACGCTAAATTGTCTTTCGAGAAGCTCAAAGACGCTATCTCCAACATAGCGCTTCTCGCCCATCCAGACACGTCTGCACCACTCTCCCTGACAACTGACGCATCAGACACTGCCGTCGGTGCAGTTCTTCAACAACTCATCGACCATCGATGGATACATCTAGGTTTCTTCTTCTTCTTCTACCTAGGTATCCGACATTTCCGTCATTATCTCGAAGGTCGAAATTTTACAGTCTTCACCGACCACAAGCCATTGACCTCCGCAATCAATGGCGCAACGGACAAGTATTCACCGCGGGAAACTAGACACCTAGACTACGTTTCTCAGTTTACGACAGACGTACGTCATGTCTCAGGTGCTCTCAATCCCGTCGCGGATGCGCTTTCACGCATTCAGCAGATCAGCTTATAGCCTGGCACCAACATTGAGCTAGCCGCTATGGCTGCTTCCCAACAAGCTGATCGCGACATAAGCAAGCCACGACGCAACACCACTGAGACGATCACCATCGATCGACTCAAGCCAGCATTCCTCGACAAGTCTGACTCTTCGGTGCAGCAAGCACCTTCACAGCCTGTGCCATCACAGCTGGCACCGCAACCTCAGACGAGTCAGTCCGCTCCAGCAGAACCGACAACCTCAACCGACAGCACCCCTACTCGCCCTACACTCAATCGACGCGGTAGGAAACTCAAGCCTCCAGTTCGTTTTTCAGACTTTGTTAGCACTTATTATTTTACGTAGAACGTGCCTTCGAAATTTTCTGCTCTTACTAAACGTTTCTGAAAATCCACAAAAAAGACCAAAACGTTTTGAAACTACCAAAAAAGAGCAAAACCTTTTGAAAACCCAAAAACAGCTTTGCACGTTTTTCGCTTTGCACTCTTTTGTGTATTGCTATGCATTTATGCTGCTTTTTCATTTGCTTTCCATATACACCGTCGGTTGGTTGCACCTCGGTTTCACTTTCGCTGGATCCCCGCACGTCAACTGCAAGTGGAACGAACTTCCTGCTCAACTGCCTACGTGAACTTTATTAACTTTCCCCCCCCCACAAACAGTTTTTTTAACCGTTTCGACACCGTAGGGAGGACACGGGTGGGAGCCCACTAGGGTCCGATTGCATGGTTCTCCCCCAGCAGCTGCATCGGGTTTCACAACCTGGTCTCGCAGAAGGCTGGCCCGCGACGGACAGTCCTCACGTAGATCGAAGGACTGCTTACACAGTCCCTTCTGGGAGAGGGCTATGTAGCAGTCTGGAGATTCCCCGGGTTGCCTGTGTAAAATTCTAACCAAAATTCTATACTTGTACACTTAGGCAACCGGTGTGGTTTGTTGAACTGCTTGCTGAGTTCGAATGCTTTACTTGCTCATCGCCATTTTTTGCTTGGCGCTCGTTTCGGTTGCAACGCGCAACTGCCCTGTGTGCTGTGCTTGATCCGTTCCCCTAGCTAGAGCGTCCACGGTGTCGTTCTTTTATAGCTAGATAACAGGGAATCTTTTACTGTACCAATAAAAGTTTCTCTGCAACTCGATCCGTCTTCTCGAATCGCTCTCTGGGCTCCCGGAACAGGCAACCCTCTAAATTGGTTATAGATGGAAGAAACCCCACTTGGACACTAAATGTCACTCCAGGCTTATCGCACATGATCCCTCTAGCCTCAAAATTTGTGAGGTGGTTGGATGCGTGTATGTAGCGTGTCGGTCAGGTTTACCAGGTACGCGGGTAAACGGCCAGTCGAAGCTGAGCTGGAGAAAATGTTTATTAAAATGACAAAAAGCTTGCTAAGGCTAGAATTAAGGCATCAAGCAGAGATGTAAACATGTGCTGAGTGTGAAGATGGCCATCGTTAACAGGTCGCGTCCGAATCTGGAAAAACAGATGCACCTGTGTTGACACAAACAAACATAACATTCGAATCAGCAAGCCCTCTAATTCCCTGATACATGAGGAAAATGCAATTTTGTCCTGTTCTCCGAGCTGGGCGTTTCTGTTGCAGACGTTTCGTTACCAAACTAGGTAACATCTTCAGTGCAGCTATTTGATGCTGATTCGCGCAGTCTCGCAAACCAATGCCAGATCTGAATGGCTATTGATTGTTGCCTGCTTCGAATGTCAGCGTTCGATCGCTTCACGTGTCCGTCATGTGGGCACCTCTTCTCCTTGTCGATCTGGTGCCTAACGCTGGCTTAACCTGCAGAGCTTCATAGACACCCTCCAGCTCCAGGTGTTTGTTGATTGAGTTCCGGCCAGAATTCCAGGCCTCGAGGAACTCACGCGCTCTGCGGTTTCTTGCTCTTCCAAGTATTGCAACGTTCTCCAGATCAAACTGGTGGTTCTCGGCATCCATGTGTACCGACATTAAGGATTTCTCATCGTGGCGGCGGATGGCCAGACTATGTTCGTGCAGTCTCGTGCCAAGTTTTCTTCCAGTCTGGCCTACATAGTACTTCTCACAGTTCTTGCAGGAAATTTTGTAAACCACACCTGATGTTTCTTTCTTAGACAGTCTGTCCTTTACCTTAAAAAGTTTATTCCGGATGGTTTCCGTTGCTTCGTGTGCAACAGTTATCCCGTGAGGCATTAGAAGCCTCGCTGCCATTTCAGAGATCCCATGGATGTAAGGTAGGATAATAGTTCTTCTTTCTGTTGCACATGTGGACGCGGGTGGTGACTGGCTCTTCGACATCAGGCAGCGTAGAATAAAGTTTCTAGGGTATGAATTTCGCTGAAACACAAATGGGGTACCGCTTCGCCCTATCGTGTCATTACCCGGGGCACCAAATTACAAGCTGTCTAAGGAACTTTGGAAACGGTTGAAACATCTAATCGCAGGCTCAGAGCACTCAATCCATTCGGCAGAACAATTTCTTGAAAAACTTAAGGGAATAACAATAGAAAGAGACGAGATAATGGTCTCTTTTGACGTTACAGCTCTGTTCACATCAATTGACACGACACTGGCAAGGCAAACAATGAGGACTCTGCTTGAACAACACGGAGCGGTAAATACCAGCAACCGAATTGAAGCCACACAAATGATGGAGTTGCTTGATTTCTGTCTCACCACACATTTCACTTTCAACGGTCAAATGTACAAACAGATAACGGGTACGCCAATGGGATCGCCAATCTCTGGACTGGTAGCGGAGGCAGTGATGCAAAGCTTGGAAGAGAAGGCATTGCCAATAGTGGAGCCCAAACTTTGGGTACGTTACGTAGATGATACTTTTGTCATCCTCAAACGCTCCAGACTACAAGAATCACATCAACTAATCAACAATATTTTTTCCGGCATCCATTTCACCAAAGAGGAAGAGAACAATGATCAGTTGCCATTCTTGGACGTGCTCGTGAGAAGACATGCTTCTGGGTCACTGGAAACAACAGTTTATCGGAAAGCGACCCACACCGATCAGATCTTAAACTATCGCAGTAACCATCCGACCACATACAAGCGAAGTTGCGTGAGGACGCTTTTCAAACGGGCCCAGACACATTGTAGCACGCCGCAACTGAGGAAGGCGGAGGAGGACCACCTATTTAACATGTTTCAGCGAAATTCATACCCTAGAAACTTTATTCTACGCTGCCTGATGTCGAAGAGCCAGTCACCACCCGCGTCCACATGTGCAACAGAAAGAAGAACTATTATCCTACCTTACATCCATGGGATCTCTGAAATGGCAGCGAGGCTTCTAATGCCTCACGGGATAACTGTTGCACACGAAGCAACGGAAACCATCCGGAATAAACTTTTTAAGGTAAAGGACAGACTGTCTAAGAAAGAAACATCAGGTGTGGTTTACAAAATTTCCTGCAAGAACTGTGAGAAGTACTATGTAGGCCAGACTGGAAGAAAACTTGGCACGAGACTGCACGAACATAGTCTGGCCATCCGCCGCCACGATGAGAAATCCTTAATGTCGGTACACATGGATGCCGAGAACCACCAGTTTGATCTGGAGAACGTTGCAATACTTGGAAGAGCAAGAAACCGCAGAGCGCGTGAGTTCCTCGAGGCCTGGCATTCTGGCCGGAACTCAATCAACAAACACCTGGAGCTGGAGGGTGTCTATGAAGCTCTGCAGGTTAAGCCAGCGTTAGGCACCAGATCGACAAGGAGAAGAGGTGCCCACATGACGGACACGTGAAGCGATCGAACGCTGACATTCGAAGCAGGCAACAATCAATAGCCATTCAGATCTGGCATTGGTTTGCGAGACTGCGCGAATCAGCATCAAATAGCTGCACTGAAGATGTTACCTAGTTTGGTAACGAAACGTCTGCAACAGAAACGCCCAGCTCGGAGAACAGGACAATCTTTTCATCCACATCCCGAGCTACAGGTATTCTCAATAATTTCCATGCAATTTTGTAGTATTCTAGAATATTTCACGTAGTCAAAAGGGGTTATCTCCAGTTCACTGCACGGTAAACGCGGTAAATGATCGTTCATATCTAGTTACTTGTGTAAATGGGAAACGCGTTAGAACACAATACAGTTGACTTGCTCATTCATTCGCCGAGAAAGAAAATTTGTTTGCAACTGAATCATCAACCCGAGCTACCCGTATTCTGAGAGTTGCAACACTACACTTGCATCGAACCGATACCGAAGTGGGCATGGACAAGACTATGTGCGATAAATTAGTCCACTTACCCTTGGTGGGTGTAGCCATGCATGGCTTTTCGTGAGTTCGTTCATCTTTCAGAGTTTTGGCCAAATGAACACGACTGAGGTTCTGTGTTGCCTCCGAAGAGGAATTAAAATGGGCTCCATGGCGGTTCTGTTTGAGAGGGTTTTGATGTATAACAGACTGCACAAGTTTTGTAGTTGGAGGAGCTCGGCCATTCGGTTTGTCCTGATTCGCCGATGTTATCGAAGATCCGCTCGGTATCGCAGAGTTGCTGTGAAGGTCCACGGGGATACGAGTGAGCCGGCTGGTGGCACGTTGTTGATCAGTATTGCTCGCGCTCTTTGGAACAATGCACACTCTGTTGGTTATTCGTGAGGCAGTGGCGTCCGCAGCTGAACGGGGTCTGTAAATAAATATGACAAAAAAGGCTGACTCAGTATATCTACAAGTAGACGTTCGCTGTCCAGATATTGTCACGGTAAATGAGACACGGTGAAACTAATAAGTTTATGCCTTCTCGAATTCCCCCACCTAAATCACCAAACCGGCTCAACCCCGCAAGCCGTGTAATCCACATCGCATCAGTTCCCTTTAATGAGCACGTGGGCGTTGATTTGTTAACGTGGGATGGTCGAAAGCAACTGATCGATGCTATATTTATTCTTCACCCCCATTGGTCCTAGGTGATGTCAGCCTGCCATTGGTTCGTAGACAACAGCCCAGGATTACAACTACGAGATGCTCTCCAGTAACGGAAATCATAAAGCTTGTATGAACATTCTCTGGCTTCAATTGTCTGTTAATATTGTATAGGAAATTAATAAGAACGCTGTTCTGCATCGTAACTCCTTATCCTGGTATCTGATTTTTGGTATATGAAGTGGAATTGTTAAGGTAGTACGGCAGTGTTCGTTCAACTTAAGGCCCGCAACCATAGATCGAAATGCCGTTCGTTCTTGGACTCAAGATCCACACTTTCGGTATACAACCAAAGGTAGTAGACCGCGAACAAAGAGTATAGCCAACCAACGTTTATATATTTCCATCTCGCATGCGAATGTTCATATAACATGAATATAACATGGTCTTAACATAGGAAGATGTGGGTTATTAAATGTACGGTTATTCTGTGCATGCCTTAGGATATACTTACTGGGAATTAAGAAGAAAATTTGTAGTTGGCTACTTGTTTATCAGCCACAGGACTGATGGTACTACCGGAAACCCAGTTAACCACGCTGTGGAAAATTTTATCTCCCTGTCTAACAGCGATGCTTAATTCGGCTTAATTCTGATTGGAATACAACCGAAGTGGGCGGCGGATTTTGTACTTGAGGAACATTTATTCCAAAGCACCCGGGTGTGGTGCATCTGGGTGACCAGCATGACAAAAATGCAAACAAGAACTGACTGAACAGACGGTCCACTTCTATCGTCCATCCGATAGTACCAAAGTCCCTTCTTCATAACCCTATTCATCATTGCCAAGTGGAATTGAATCAGCAGGCATCAGAATCTTCATAGCATAAGCACCAAGTAGACTACTGAATAAACGCATAAATAACGAGATTTTGTAGAACTGAATCTCCGTAGGCAGATATGGTTTCTAATAGAAATGGGGCAATTTCTGTGAACTGAAAGTACTAAATGCTTACGAACTAGGTCTCTTGAACAACGGTCACTGAAATACTAAATCATGTGGGTTTTGCCTGAAGACAGACGCAGTTTACCATTTGTCATCCAGCGATACGAATGTGACAGTCGCAATAAGACTGGACCTTAAGGTAGTGCGACGGTTTGTGTACCTCATTGACCCATTGAGCTTTACTGGGTGGTGCCTGCGAGCATCTTGAGAGATACTCCTACCAGGTTGGTCAATGGTAAGAGGTCAGACGAACTCAGTCTCCTGGTCTTCTAGGTTGGAGGTTAGAAATGGGATGGCGTCCATTTCTGTCAAACTAAATCATTGCCACCTCCCCGCTGCATTGCGGACAGCCTTTTAAGCCAAAGGATTTGGGTGAGGACCCTAATGGTCCTCCTGTCTGTGTCAGGGCGCCCTGGCAGTATCCTAGCCCACATACAACTAAGACTTTTTCTTCAAAAATAAACTTCATCCTGCATCCGCCGTCGCACAGATTATCAAGGGTCGCCTTATCTGCTGCATACTGCAGGGCGGATAAGCGAAAAGATGCTACTACTGGCGACTCCCTCCTTTCTTTTTCACCTGTGTCTCTTACTCCTACCCCGACGCCCCTTACTAACCTACCTTCTATAATTCCCAGCTTAATTGACAGTAACCGAAGTGCCACTGGAGTAGAACCATCTGCAGCCACCAACCCACAATAGCTATCGGAGGCCCATCGGCAACAGTCCCTTATAAGGCCACGCCGTCTCCTTTCCATGGCGATGTTCAACGTTTGCACTCTAAGACAAACAGGTAAACAGACTGCACTCGCACGCACCTTGGACACACTGGGTATTGATGTGTGTTGTGTGTCCGAAACTGGGATAAGTGTCCCTAATGGGGTTGTTGAATTAACTGCACTCGGCTTATCCTCTCGTTATTGGTTGCCCGCATCCCGAAACGCCAATGCAGCACTCACGGGTCAAGCTGGTGCAGGTATCATTCTAAGCTACAAGGCTGAGCCATCGTTGGTTGATTGGATTCCGGTGAATAGCAGTTTATGTGCAGCCCGTTTGACGATATCAGCTAAGGTTGATTTACGAAGTAGTACAAACGCTGTTTGTTTGTGCTTTCCGTTTATGCTCCCACCGACTTTAGTTCTAATGTTGTCGTAGACACATTCTATACCGAACCGAACGCGCTACTACGCAGTGCTAATAGTTCAGATATTATAGTACTTGCAGGGGATATGAACGCACAATTAGGACGTCTGAGCTCTTCAGAAGCTCAGCTGGGTGGTAATTGTGGGCTTAACTCCGAACAGACTGATAACGGCGAGCGTCTGCTGCAACTGCGTGCGGAACACCACTTATTTCTTAGTAGCACTGCTTTTAGATACAGTGGGCGCCGAAATGCCACTTGGCGACGTCCTGTAGCTGGCCATCGATGGACCCAAATTGACCACATAGCCATAAGCTACAGGTGGCGCGGTTCCATACTGGATTGCTGATCGTACTGGAGTACCTGTGTCGACTCTGATCATGCCTTGGTTCGCTGTCGTTTCTCCATGAACTTGACCGGGAGGCGCACCAAGCGTCCTCTCCGATTGGCAACGGAGAAATGGTCTCGGCCCTCGGTCAGGCAAGCCTATCATGACGCACTGCATACCGAATTGCTTTGTTCTAATGACACTGATCTTCAGTAGAATAGGATCACGGCCGCCATACATGATCTAGGAGCATCTGCTTGTGGCACTATCAATCGTTACCGCACTAGTCACTGGATATCCGAGAGGTCGGTGAATCTGTTGGAAGCTAGAAGACACCTCCCGGCTGGCTCTGTGCACAATGTGACCAGACGGGCCGTTAGGCGCGAACTAAAGCAGAGCCTACGTGCTGACAAGGAAGTCTGGTGGACCAGTCGGGCTCAAGAAATGGAGGAGGTAGGAGCAGTAGGTAATTACCGCAAGCTCCTTCAACTGATCCGCACCACTGGTCCCAGGAAAGCGGACGTCAGTGAGACAATCAGAGACAGCACGGGTTCGCTGATACACAATAAGGAGCGCCGTATGGCTCGTTGGTCGGAACACTTACAAAATCAGTTCAGCTGGCCACCTGCTCCAGGACCTCTTCCTACTCAGGTGATGCAGGACGAGCCATGGACGGTTAGTTTAGAGCCTCCGTCGGATGTCGAGGTCCGAAACGCGATCACAGCTCTCAATCGTTTTCGGGCCACTGGACGGATTCCCTCCCACCTGTACTATTTAAGGATGGAGGTGAGGTCCCCAGCAAAGTACTGACCTCCTTATCCGAATGTATCTGGAAGGAAGAGTGTGCCGGCTAATTGGAGCGAATCGATTATAGTGGCAATATACAACAAAGTCAGTCGCACTGACTATTCTAACCACAGGTGTATTAGCCTAACGCCAGTCGTGACAAAATTACTGGCCTCGATTCTCGTTCGTCGCCTCACTGCGGAACGGGAATCTCGAATTAGGAAAGAGCAGCCCGATTTCCGCCCAAGACGTGGCTGTATAGACCATATATTCACTTTGCGGCAGGTGCTAGAGCAACGCCACGCATACCACAGACCGATAATAGCTGTGTTCCTCGACTGGAAAAGTGCCTTCGATTCAGTCGATCGATCGATTCTGTTCGAGATACGTGCGCGGAAAGGTGTTCCCACGAAATATGTGAACATCCTTCGTGCTCTATACTCGAACACTAGAGGCCGCGTCAGGGTCTACGGTGTCCTATCGGATAGCTTTCCGACCACAAGTGGCTTTCGTCAGGGTTGTCCGATTTCCCCATTTCTGTTCAATTTCTTAATGGATTCTACCATGGAGTGTTCCTTTGCGAAATCTCACGATGAAGGCGTTGAAGTTCTTCCTGCTAAACGATTAGTGGATCTTGATTCTGCGGACGATATCGTCTTGCTTTTCGACCATATTGACGCAGCACAATCAACTCTGAATAGCCTGTCTAGAGTGGTCCCATTATTTGGTATGCACTTCGCACCTTCAAAGTGCAAAGTGTTGCTGCAGGACCACCAGTTGCTTTATGACCTCTTGACCCTTGCTAACGCGAAACTCGAGGTGGTTGATCGATTCACTTATCTTGGCAGCTGCATCAGCAACGATGGGCGCATAGAAACTGACGTCAGTTCACGCATTGCAAACGCCAGAGCTGCCTTCTTGAACCTGCGGCATCTTTGGTGACAGAAGGGAACTTCCCTCCATCTGAAAGGCCGTGTATACAAGGCCACAGTGAGGGCCGTTCTGCTCTATGGTAGTGAGACTTGGCCCCTTCGGTCTGAAGATCTGAGGCGCCTTCAAGTCTGCGAAGCATTGCTGGTGTCGGATGACACCAGCCTGTCCTCAACGATAACGTGAGTAAGTGAGTACTAGGTAGTGATAATCATGCTATCTTCCTTGAACAACAGATAGCACCGAATAAGTTGCGCTGGCTCGGGCACGTGCTACGTATGTCTGGACACCGCTTACCTAAGAGGGTCTTGTTTATTTTTCCAGGTGTAGGCTGGGCGAAGCTCGAAGTGGACGGAATTTGACTTGGAAGTGGGAAATGAAGTCACTGACGATGAAACTGGGTACCGTTGGTCCGTCTCGCCTTCCGGGCTGGAGTCTACTTGACTCGTTTTGTGCGTGGCTCGAGACTTTAGAGGAGATGACTCGAAACCGACACCAGTGACGCGTCTGCTGCCGTCTCCTAATCGGATTGTCTGTTTAAAGTGTGTTTGGTTCTGAGTTATCTGCGGGGTAA